CTTTCTTTCTTTCTTTCTTTCTTTCTTTCTTTCTTTCTTTCTTTCTTGTCTTACAGAAATTTTTTGATCTGGAAAGAGAGAATGCTTGTGCCACAAAAGAACAAAAGAACCAGACCTTTCCCAAATTAAACCGCAACAAGTACATGGTGACAGATGGAGCCGCTTACATCGGTAGGTTTGGGGGTTGAAAAACTCCTCAGGGCACTCCCAGACAGTAGGGATCAGCTGTGCTCTGACAGATCCCCGGGGAATGAGGCGGCACCTTGGAAGCTGTTATGTATTGATGAGTGTGTGCAGGCGGGAAGTGGGAAGGTGAGGCCCAGGAGCCCTCCAGTCACATAGACCCTCTTTCCACTCCATGGCTGCCGTTCATGAAAGACAGTCTTCCGTCTACATTCTGCAGACAGTCTCTGGTCCATTCATTTGCCTCATTTGATAAGTGAGGAGGCAAAGGGCTCATTAGAGGTGAGTCCCAGCATGGAACAAATACAGAGCTCATGCTCTCGTTTACAGTGTCACGAGACATCCTATCTTGGGGTTCCGGGGACTCATTACACTGCATGCTATCTTCTCGTGACACCTCTGCCATTTCCTAAGTATCTAACATGGAGCAATTCCCTGGAGCGCCCTAAACTTCAGTTTGCTGGTGTGTAAAATGAAGCTGGTGGCAGTTTCTACTTCACGGAGTGATGTTTAAATGCGATATAATATACGCAAAGCACCTGGCACATGGATGATGCCCAATGAATGTTCGCTATTCTTATTAAGGCAATGAAGTTCCAGGTTCATACATCATTACCCTGGGGAGATTATTCTAACTCTTCACAGAGTGGGGGAGGCAAGGACAGTCTCCTCACTGGAATCATCACAGATAGAGCTGGCATTGCCTTACATAAAAGAAGACGTTCAAATCCTGAAGAATCAGAGTGAGTTTAGACCACACGGGTGAAGTGGCAGCTTCAGCAGAAAACAAGAACCTGCTTGTGGGATGCAGGAGTGAAAATGGAAGCCATAGCAATCATTTCTCTAAATTCCGTGGGTGAATTAGAAACCGTCTTTACTTCATGAAGCACTTTCACCTTAGTTAGTCCTCTTAGCACAGCTACCAACAGAGAGAAGAGTGTGAACCAAGGTGAGAAGTGAGGATATGGGGTCTGGAGAAGGAAGTAACTTGGCCACACAGGTGTCTGGAGAGGGACTGGCTGTCTGGGACAGGCCACGGGGTCACCAACCTCAGCCTGAGGGTATCAGTCTCTATTTTTCCTATCTTATTGCCTTCTTAAAAATAGAGCATTTAAGGTTCTGTTTGTTTGTTTTGTTTTGCTTTGTTTTGTTTTGTTTTGTTTTGTTTTGTTTAACACGTGGGGCTGGGAAGATGGATCCACAGGTCTGGAGCGTTTAACTGCTCTTCGAGAGTTCAGGTCTCGGCAATTCAAGTGGGGTGCCTCACAAACTACCTGAACCCCAGTTCCAGTGAATCTGATGCCCCCTCCTGGCTTTCGTGGGTACTGCATCCACGTGCACACATCCATCCAAATACAAATAAACACTATTAAAGGTAAAATAAATTTTCTTTTATGGAGGATTTTGTCAGGCATGTAGTGCACACTTTCAAACCCAGCACTTGGGAGGTAGAGGCAGCACCTCTGTGAGTTCAAGGCCAGTCTGGTCTACATAGTGAGTTCCAAAACATCCAGGACAATATAGAAAGACCCAGTCTCAATTTTTTTTTCTTTTAATATGTAATTCTGATTGTTTTGCATTATAACCACAGTAAAAGGTGATTCAAAAATGGGGCTGTCTGAATTTTTTCATTTTTCTCAGTTTATGGAAAATAGAATGAAATTGGCTTTTTTGTTTTTATTTTGTTTTGTTTTTTGAGACAGGGTTCTCTGTGTATTCCTGGCTCTCCTGGTCACTCAGTAGACCAGGATGGCCTCAGACTCACAGAGATCCACCTGCCTTTGCCTCCCGAGTGCTGGGATTAAAGTGGTGTCCCACCGCACCAGGCTAGTTTGTTTGTTTGTTTGTTTTGTTTTGTTTTTAAGCAAGTGGCGAAGACTGGAGAGATGGTGTATCAGTTTAGAGCACTTGGTGCTCTTGCAGAGGACCTGAGTTAAGTTCCCAGCACCATACAGAGGATCACAATATCAATTAACTCCAGTTCTAGGGTATCCATTGCTCTTTTCTGTCCTCTGAAGAAGACACCAGGCACATAGTGGCACACATATATACATATATATTAATATATATAACATATATATATTAATATATATTAATATTCACATATTAAATAAGTGAATAAATGAATAAATAAATGAACATTAAAATTTGAAAAAACAACTCAAAATTGCGTACTAAAAAATAGGAACATTGGGCTAAACTTAGGGGTGAATCCAGACAGGTACATAGTAGCTTAAGACTCCAGATCAAGATCTTTTACTGCAGCATTTATTTAAAGTAAGGTGTCATGTGCACATTTCTGTGACTCTTTAAACAAAAGGAAAACAGGACTCACATCAAGACCAGACATGGGCTTACAAACTACTGTTTATTGGTCTTCAAAAGACTCACCTGACAGCCAAACATTCCTTGGGCAAATTAAATAAGTGTTCTGGAATCAGAAAACAATCTATATTTGAATCGTAGAGCAGACACAAACTGGAGGAAGGTAGCAAGTCATGTAATCTCTTGTAAGCTTCCGTCTCTCTAGCTGTAGGAGGATAATAGCCCCCACCCTTTTGATGGTGGTGTGGTGATTCAATGAGGTAATTTGTTAATGGCTCCAAACACTGTCTCTGATGGATCTGGGGTCTTTTAAATGTGGGGGTTTTGCTCCTTGTTCCTGAGCTAAGATATTATTAAGTGAGTTCATTTTATAGACAACAGTTTTAGCAAAACATGGATCCCTAGAGTTGGGCATGGTGGCCCATGCCTTTAATTCCAGCACTCAGGGAGGCAGAAGCAGGCAGATAGCTGTGAGTTCAAGGCCAGCCTAGCCTACAAAGTGAGTCCAGGACAGGCAAAGCTACACAGAGAAACTCCGTCTCAGGGCGGGGTTAGGGAGAGAACAAACAATGATTCTCTAGAGAGAAACAGAGCTCTGATACAAAAACATTCAAAGAACATCAAAAGGGACAGTAACTGTTATCTTAAATCATTTCTTAGATACTGATTAATAATGTGGGACTAAGAAAAATCCCAGGCCATGGGATTATGACTCCATTAAGTTTGCATGAGACCACCAGAAGCATATTCAGAGTGCTGTGCTTTCCCCTTTTAAATTCTCTAGAACATATCTGAGTTAAGCTCTGAAAATTTGTCAGGAAGGTGTCTCAGTAATTAGACAGCTAAGGAGGGGATAAGAGGTTAATTGAAGGTGCTGGAAAAATGCCCAAGGCTGCCTACCAACAAGGCAACACACACACACACACATACATACACACACAACACAAACTACATTCTGGACATTGCAGCCTTACTGTGCATTTTGGGGAGCTGAAATAGTCTAAAAACATAACATAAAATTTTAGCCTAGCTTCCAAGAAAAAAAAAAAAAGAAATACAGAAGCATATGTCACCTTGACAGTCCACCAAAATTTCTGTGTCAGCATGAAACTTCCCAGAGCTATACTGAAAGAAGCCAACTGAAGTGTTTGAAATCCACAAACAGCCTACTCTTGGATCATTCACTGTATGGCAGAAGAAAAAAAAAAAAAGCTAGATTTACAGGATAAGGCCCCAACTCCTCCATCCTCTTTTCTCCTCCCAGGGCTATCCCTGAAGTATTTTTCATGTGTGTTCCCACCAGAAAATTTGATCTGCCAATGTACAAAGCAGAAATCTCAGCATGGCTGCAATGCTCCAGAGCCTAAGATGAGGTCATTGTACAGGGTCAAGTGGGCAGTGGATGCCTTAGGGGCAAAGGCAATATGGCACAGAGGTGGAGTCGGGCTTTGGAGTTAGATTTGACTCTGACCCTTCGGTCCATTGGGTTTCTCTGCAGCACCATTGGTTAGCCATGGAACATGGAACAAAAGTAGGGACTTCTGTGAACATCTCCTTCCTTGGGGTAAAACGTTCCCATCATACAAAATATTGTCTATAAACACAAGTACTTGCTTTGCTCAAAGTAGACACTTAATAAATTATAGTTGCTCTCCCCTCAGACTCCTTAGAAGCTTCACTGCATCCCTTAATATTTCAACCTGTTCTCTGCCCACAGCTATCATCCTCTTTTTGGCTTCTGGTTCTCTCTTGTCCTAGTTAAGCTTCAGCACATCTCTCATTGCTCAGTACACAGCTTCTTCTTCTTGACACATTTAGCCAGGGATAGAAAGCCTTCTCTCTGGTGCTTGTGGCATTTGGTGTGACATCTTAGTGTGCCCTTTCCTGTAGTCTGCGTTCTAGTGACTCTTGGCTTCCTGAACTCCTTGAGGGCAGGAAGCTTCATTTTTTCAGTTTTTAGATCACATAGCTTAATATCGGACCTGGTAGATATTAGGGACTAAGTGAACAACACAAGATAAGGAAGATACAATAAATAATTAGCACCGGCCTCTTCCAAAGATAAACCTTGGTTTCATAAATTAGATAGAGAAATACGTGGGAGGTTAGGGTTGCTCAGCCATTTTCTATACCTTTGTTTTAGTTGGTGTTCTATGGCTATAAAGAGACACCATTACCAAGGCAAGCCTTATTTTAAAAAAATTTTAATTGGGTGCTTACTTACAGTTTCACAGTCTTACTCTGTTATCATGTTGGAGAATAATGATGGCATACAGGCATGTATGGTGCTAAAGAAGTAGCTGAAATCTTTACAGCATGATCCTCTGGCAGTAGACACACACAGAGAGAAAGACACTGGGCCTGGTGTGGGCTTTTGAAACCCTAAAGCCCACCACTAATGACACCCTCCAACAAGACCACAGCTCCTAATCCTTCCCTGACAGCTATTCAACTGGGGACTAAGCATACAAATATATGAGCCTAAACATACAAATATATAAGCCATTTCCATTTGAACCACCTCAGCCTTGAAGGCGGATTTTAACACTAATGGTGTTGCCATTATCAGCCTCTTCTGAAATGATCTCAACTTCAAAATTCATATGCAGAAGTCCTGACTCTCATTATGAAAGAGTGTGAACAAAGAAACTCACTCTAAAGTGAGATCATTAAGGTGGACATTAATCTAATGTGGCCTATGTCCTTAAAAAAAAAAAAAAAAAAACAGAGGAACTATGCCTGGTGGCTCTTGCCTATAATCTTAGCTCTCAGAGGGCTGAGGGAGGATCACTGTGAGTCTGACCTGAACTATACAGTCACATCTGGTTTCAAAAGCAAAACAGGGAAGGGGACTAGATAAGGGCATGAATGAAGGAAAGACAGTAGGGAGAGACGGAGAAAAGAGCCACTGAGAGAGGAAGAACCTAGAAGGCATCCTTTCCATTCTAGTTTGTTTCTCTAGCCTTGTGATGACTACTTCGACCAAAAGAAATTTGGGGAGGGAAGGGTTTGTTTCACTTGCAGATTATTGTCCATCGCCAAGAAAAGCCAAGGTACTGGACAGTGGTGGTGCAGGCCTTTAATCCTAGTTCTCAAGAGGCAGAGGCAGGTGGATCTCTGAGTTCAAGACCAGCCTGACCTACAGAGTGACGTCCAAGACAACCAAGACTACACAGAGAAACGCTGTCTCGAAAAACCGAGAGACAGAGAAAAAGAGGCAGGCCAAGACAGGAGCTTGAAGCAGTAACCACAGGGGCAATGTTGCTTGCTGTCTTGATTCCAGTCTGTGGCTGGCTACCTTTCTTAGCTAGCTCAGGCCCGCTTACCCAAGGATGACAATACGAAGTGGGCTGGGCCCTCCTATATCAATTATCAGTCAAGGGAATGCTACAGACATGGCCAGATACTGATCTGATGGTGGCAGTTCTCCCTGGATGTGCTAAGTTGGCAAAATAAATAAATAGATAGATAGAAAGATGAATGAATGAATGAATGAATGAATGAATGAATGAATGAATGAAGTTAGCCTTAGCTCCCAGTAGGAATCAGCCTTGGTTTTTTTTTTTTTGTTTGTTTGTTTGTTTGTTTGTTTGTTTTTTGTCTCCCAAGTCATGAGAATACATTTCTACTATTTAAACCAATTGGTTTCTGGCTCTACATAGAAACAGTTCTGAAAACATCAAATCAGCCATCTATCTAATGGTACAGACAGACCTGTGAGCCTGTGCTCAAAGCACCTGGCCAAGCCACTGGTCCTGCCCTCGATGGTGCCTTCCAGTCTGTCTCCTTAGGGAGAGCTGTAGCCATTTCTCTGCCTTCAGCTTTGTCTCAGTTGTGAAGCATCTCTGCTTAATAATGTTTATACATATGGATTCAATGTTGTCTCTTTGAGAAGGTAGTAATTGTTCACAGGATTTTTAAGTGTATTCCTATATATTTTAAATGTTTCTGTATTTAGTGTGTCTTGTGAACATCAATAAAAAATAACATTTACAGAAAAAGAACAGCAGATTTCTTGTTTTGAGTTTCGACTTGAGCAAAGCTGAAGAAAATGCCAAAATAATATGCAAATATTAATCTGCCATATGTAGGGTTTCTTGTGACTTTTTCTCTCCAAAGCTGTCAACACCATTCTGCCTCTCTTGTTATTCCTGGGTGTTTATTTTATTTATTTATTTTTTGTGAATCTGTTCTTATTTCATTCTATTGGGAATTTTCCTAGTGGATTGTACCTTCTCATCATGATTTCTTTGCTTACAGGAAATTTTGACTGGGTAGGGAATGACTTTACCCAGAATGCCGGCACAGGCCTTGTCATCAACCAGGCAGATGTGAAAGACAACAGGAGCATCATTAAGCAGCTTAAAGACGTGTTTGAGAGGGACTGGTATTCGCCTTATGCCAAATCCATACAGCCAACCAAACAACCGAACTGTTCAAACTCAAGCCTATCCAAACTCAAGCCTCCCTCCAACCAACCTGCCACTTACAATGCCACCGGGAGGGAGCTCCTGAATGGAAAGCTCACTGACAGACAAGCAGGGCTTCAGACCTAATGCAGGAAAGACAACGATTTACTGCGTCTTTTTTTTAAGGGGAAATAAAAAGCACACTTATTAAAAATGTTCTCTGAATGACATGTAATATCTAGCTAACAACATCTTAGCACCATATATTAAATTTAAGACTTTTGTATCTATGAGCTCTGACAGAGAATGTCATTCTGGTGTAGAAGTTAGTTTTTAACATCTGCAAACAGATTTTACGACTCGGTTCTCCTGTTTCTTACTGGTTTTAGAACCTTTCCTGCTGGTCCACCTGCACTGGTTTTAAGAAGCCTAGCATGAGGTGAGCCCTTTCCTTTAATATTGCTGAATTCCAGAGTTAGAGGAAGGGGGGTTGGGGTGGAGACAGAGACAGAACCAAGCATCTGCCCTGATAAATCCTCTCCAAGACCTATCCAGGCAGCTGAGCGCAGGTGCCTCCCTCTCATGCCAGCCTTCAAGACTCCTCAGAAACAGCCATTGTTGTCTCCTTGTTCCTTGTCTTCTGATACCAGAGGGTTTTGTTTTGTTTTGTTTTTGTTTTTGTCTTGTTTGTTTGTTTTGGTATCGGCCTGTCTTCTCACGAACTGTTCATGTTCTACATAGTCCCTGGACTCACCTCAGCCCTAGGTCAAAGTGTGAGAATATCTTTGGGAAAGGTATGAATTCCCCAGAATGTAAACAAAATGGAAATAGCAGGCTTTCATTCTCACCTCTCAACTATAATTTTTTCCCATCCCAAATTGGTTATTTTTAAAAATCACAGTCAGTTCTCTGTCTCTGTCTGTATCTCTCTGTCTGTCTGTCTGTGTCTCTGTCTTTCTCTCTGTCTGTCTCTCCCTTTCTCTCTGCTGTATATGTTTTTTTTTTCCTGAAGCTCAGAAAAATAAAGTGCCCCTGCTAATATCCAGCAAACCATTAAGTCTGCATTTGGAGAACAAAGCGGTTTCACATTGTTAACAGTATTTTAAAGGAAAGGTCTCTATGCGTCGGTGGATTTTAATTTATTTAGAATTATTATGCTGTTAAGAGTACGCCAGCAAATGTTTATAACAGAGCTATTTAATATACTTTCTGCTATTTAATATACCAAATGCTTTTCAGACAAATGCAATTTAAATACTGTGCTTAACATATTTTACTAAGAAACAGAAATACTGGATCACTGTTCTATAATGTCATTGTGTGTTGTTTTCTATCTATACAATATATAATCCTGTATTAATGGAGACTGTTGCTACATGAGAGAGGTGTGACCTCTTCAGAGCCCAGAGCGAATGGCCAAGATGCCCACGCTCAGTTTGGCTCCTGACACCATGCTCAGAGCGGAGTCCTTCACTCTTTGGCCTCGGGTTTCTATTGTTGACATAGAGACAATAATACTCACCTACCTCGCAAGGATGCTGTCATGGTAGGCGATGTTTATAAGTTGTTTTTGAAATCAAAAGAACTATATAAATGCTAAGCATTACACTGCATAATCTTTTTCTTGAAGTAATCTCTGTGGTATCCTGAAAGAATCTATACAAGGTATTCCCCCAAGAATCTGAGGGGAAAATAAAGCACCTTCTATTTACAAACACATACGAAATGAATGGGGATGAAAGGGTGGGGAAAGATTGGTCCTAATGACAATTTGAATGTAGGTATTTGAATGGAACATTCTGCCCAGTCACCATGACATAAATAATAACACACAACTAGATGCTGTGCTGAAAATGGACCTTTAGGACCAGAGTGTTCATGTGTTTTGAGAACGAGGATGAGCGATCTCATTTATTTACTCTCATCTCTAGAGACTTAGTTTTAATTATGCCAAAAAGAGTTCCTTATTCACAGGTTCACTGAACAGAGTGGTTGCTCCCAATCCTACGGATTCCTCCAGTTTCTTTTCTGACATTTTCTCCTCTTACCTCTAACCAAGTCAAGAGGGCTGAGAGAGTTATCTAGGCATGATGTGCATGCCTTTATTACCAGCTCTCAGGGGCAAAGGCAAGAAGATCTTTGTGTTTTGGAGGCCACATAGAGAGTTCCAGAATAGCCAGGGCTATATAAAGAGACACTCTCAAACAAAGAACAGAACAGAAAAGAAAGGGATAGAAAAGAAAAGAAAAGAAAAGAAAAGAAAAGAAAAGCCAGAGACAGAGCATGCCAGGAGAAAGCTGTGATTTGAGAGTATCAGGATGTATGGACCGGTTTGAAGACTTTCAGTGATACTTTTTGTTGATAATGTCCAGCCCATAAGATTCTAAGTATTTACCATATACTCCATCCTAGAATTGGGTGTCATCCTGGCAGTTGTCCAAAAGTAGCTTTAGGGATAATTTTCAAAGGAAGAAAGGCAATGAGAAGAACCGCAGACAAACTACCCTCTTTACTCTTGAACAGACAAAGGGAACGTGGGTTGATCCAAAGGGAATACAAGAGAAACGTAAAAAGTTGTCCTCCTTTTGGCTTTGTCGTTTCCCAGATTGCTTGCCAACAGTCTCATGAGACAAACGTAAGTTTGGTGGTATGGGTCCTTTCCCCGTTACTGCCTTTGGTATTGTGCAATAGGAAACCAGAACATTTTCATTGATGAAATGGCCATCACTGTCACTTATTCCCAAACCCACCAGCATAGCAGCTCTGGGCATGATGTCACAGGTTTTCAGCCACACGCCAGCATCAGCGGAACCCTCCTTGGCCTGGTAACCATGACTGTGCTCCCACAGCTAAGCACCTCACCCCAACATGCCACACTATCCCTTGGCAGAGTTCCCTGTGTCATCTGTCTCCTGAGAGAGCATCCAATTCAGGAGACTCTTCTCTCTCATCTGGACACTCTCCTATAGGAGAGAACCTTTTTCTTTTAGACTTTGAGTCTCTGCTGGATAGATAACTAACTTCCACCCTTCCCCTTCCAAGTAGCTTAGGATGTATTTATCAAGACGGAAAGAACACAAAACAAAAACACCCTGAGACTACTCATAATATGGGGATATAAACCCTTTGGAAAATATGAGTAAGGGGCTCGAAAGATGGCACAGCAGTTAAGAGCACTGGCGGTTCTTCCAGAGGTCCTTTTGTTCCATTCCCAGCAACCACCTGGGGATAACCATCAATAATGAGATCTGGTGCCACTTCTGGCCTGCAGGCAGAACACTGTGTACATAATAAATAAATCAGAGAAAGGAAGGAAGGAAGGAAGGAAGGAAGGAAGGAAGGAAGGAAGGAAGGAAGGAAGGAAGGAAGGAAGGAA